CCAGTGGGACAATTTATTTTGGCCGCACGAGCAGACTTTTATGTGAACGAGACCGCAAGTACCACCCGGTCTGGCTGAGCAGTGTGCTGATTAGCACCATCAACAGTTCAGTCGTTTCACACTTAGTGGAGTCAAATCACGTGATTGATTTGGCCGAGGCATTTCGACCCATCTACTTAGTTGGCAGCCGTAAATCTAAGGAGATTAAGAGTGGCATTCTGGCCACAGCGGAAGCGATCGGAATCCGCCTACACTACCCCCCCCCCTGTATGCTAAAAAAGCAATCTGTAAGAACGCTCGGTCTTCCATGGCCAACACACACGACCCTGTCAACCCGCGAACCAACCCTCGAACCAGTGCGCATGTGTGATGACCAAAGTGTGAACAACAACCAGTCATGAAACAGGAATGTTGCTTATTTCTCTTCTCATTTTTTCATGTTTTATCCCCCCTAATTGCTCTGATATATTTGTACTTCAGATATACACATTTGAATCTGATCAATTAAAAATTTGTACCACAATTTGTCATCCCGACCAATGGAACGTCTGCGGAAGTGATGCTCTTTGATGGATATACTACTAGTACTACTACTATTTTGAGGTCAGCCGGTGAATACGCACACCCTTCTAATGAACACATCTTTCGCTGTTAGGGGACTCACGCAACACGTATTCTTACCGAGCATTGATTTATTACTTTGCCTTTCTCCGATCACCAAAGAGGAAACACCAAGGATAAAAACACTAGTTGAGAAATCCGTTGTGGCTAATCTGAATCAATCCCTAATTGTATAACGTTCACGTACAACGATAAATAAATGGCTCCAATTTCTGGCTTTTCCTATCCGACAGAATTTCGTAACTTTCGAAAGCAGTCGGTTGTCAACAGCGAAATGCATATATTTTAAATGATTCATGAACCTTTTTCAGTTGCTCACGTCAGAAGAATGTGAAACGGCCACCTTCGGAGTTACACCCCTGTTTAACACTGAATTCATAAATTTGCACACGTTCCGTAATGTACGAATATTGGAAACTTATTTTCATTCAATAATTATAAGATGTCACGTTACTAGAGCGGCTGAAGATGTAAACCACATGCCATATTTGGACAGGCCCATTTGATAGCTAGAAGTAACAGATACGGCATGTAGATTAACCGACCAAAGAGACAATGTATTGCTCGTAAGTTGATTGAATGATACATTCCTGCGATGGATTGCAAAGTGCACTGGATGGCAGCTGATTTGGATTCATCGTTGTCTTCCGTTTTGTGTCCTTAACAGAACTTCAATCTCAAATTTTCAGGTTTGGAAAGAAAACCCCAACATTTTGGCCCCAAGGCTGATGCCTAGAGCTTAATGTCCATTTACTTCTCACAAATATTAAGCTCTTCTTGACATATAGATACACATGTACACTATTTCTTCATGAACACTAGTAACATAAGTGCTGGAACATGAAAATGGATTGGCACAATGAAACAATTAAATTGATTTGAGATTAACTCGAAATGGAGCGGGCAGTGGCATGTGCCTGTACGTATACGGCATAAACAGTTTTAAGCGACCAGAAATCGCATTTCCACCACGTGCTCCATTTACATGGAGATCGCTGTTACTATGTCCATGTATGCGGAGTAGATGAATGCTTGTTTCCGTAAAGGGACACGAAACGAAGCGCTTGGATGCAACATTGTTCATGTGTCATTTATTGGTCAGCTGCCTACTAAAAATAGCAACGTCATGAGTGGTGTATGCCTTTAAAAACCTAATTGGAACGTTTCATGCCGCTTTGAGAAACTGTTTATAATCCTTTGCTCGAATCGCACAACGACCAGGGTCCAACATATTAGAGGATCACAAAGACCCGGGTTTGCTATGACTCACCCAACGCATATAACATGATGGTGACAGTAATGTCCTAAATAAATTTCCAAATACATTTTCGGGGAAGAGTGATGAACACTGCTTCCATGCAGAGGAAATTATGGAGAAATGCGTGAAGGTTTTGAGGGAATGTTCACACCGAGAAAATTGTGGTGAATGCAACAGACTAACACACAGGGTGGATTTCCGCTGGGATTTCTATTTCGAACATTGAAAGTGAAACTTTTGAAACAAATGTGAAATCTTTCTTCTCACTGATGCGGTTCTTGAGATAAGTCATCGATTTTGCGGTTTACGACAAAATTGACTTCAACTATGTCGTGACAGAATTCGAAAATGCTACAGTAAACAGTTATACACCTTGGGAAGCAAACCGTTGTTGGGAGCTGATTCACTGAAATTTTCAGCATAGGTATGATTGGAAAACCTTTTTTTGTATTTCATCAACACAAGAAGATATATGTGGGCAGAATTGATATTGGCCATCAATTTCACGTGCTCTCGTTCTACGCACATCCTAACAGACCGATTGACTCATGCTTTGCTAGACAATGGTCATCCCATCACATCCATTCACAAATACAGCAAGCCGATCAACCACAAGCCTAATTCCCTATCGGCTAAGAAGAAAGATATCTATAGTGAACTGCCTTTCGAGGGATATAATGTAACAATAAAGATAACTCGACGTTTAACACACGCCATCGAAAGGACGTACAATGCCGCAAGACTAATGATGGTCTACGGGAAGTTTCGTTCCCTCACACGCACTAAAGTGTATCGAAAAGACGTTAGTGCTATCTCCAACTGCATCTATTTATTTTAATACGGTCAGCCGTACGTCGGAAGGACAGAACGTCATTTATCAACCAGAATGTGTGAAAATATTCCGAAACACTTTGGTTCTCGCTGAGGGAAATTAGCATCTAGTGCGATTGCCCGTCATTTGTTAGATTCCGGTCACCATGTAGACAGCCAAAGCGTTTTGAGTCAATGCGAGACCTCGAAGTTCAAGGACTTTGCAATTCTCAGAAACGATAATTATTCATCGCTTGAAAGCGCAATTATGTTTTAAAAACTACGTGATGCAGCTGTTGTTACCGTGGTAGTGATAATGTCACACTTGATACTACCCTACCATAGTATGACGTGACATTACCTTCCATCCACCTCCCTCCACCACATTCACCACATCGTTCGTAATAGTTCACCTTCATAAAAAATGTTGTCATCTACTTGAGCTCAACTCCTAACCGAACGCAAATCATGCAACTCACTTTTCCAGAACTTTATTCAAATGACTGATTTCAACTCCTTGGGTCTTCGTTTCACATGATCATATAAATGTGCGTTTACACATGGATGAGAGCAAGTGAAATTGATGGCCAATATCAATTCTGCCCACATATGTCTTCTGATGTTGATGAAAGGGATAAAGGGAAAAGGATGTTTTACACGTTTTTCTGTATCTCGAACTGGAAACTCACTTAACGGTAACAGAGGTTAACCTCTCAACCTGATTCATTTGCTTGATAGCAGACAACTACGTTTGCATATAAAGCTGAACAGATAGGTTTGTTCTACTCGAAAGAGGTTGATATTTCTCAAACTCGCCGATGTTATCCTATTTACTCTTTTGTTCCTCGTTCGTTGGATCCTTCCGCACATTCTTCTTTTGTAACAAGCTGATTTTCATTATATAGAAGAATCGGTGTTTATTTGAATTGAATACTCAAATGATTTGTATAGTCACTGTTTATTAAATTTGGTCGTCTACAATCAAAGTTCACACTTCAGATATAAGTCATTTGTAGTATTCAAACCACAGGCTTTGTGTTGAGCATAATAAACCAACGAAAACCTCACCGATCTGTTGATTTTAACACAATTATCCTCACGAGCTATATTGCAGTTTGCGCGCATTGATTCTTCCTCCGGGAAAAATATTCTTTTTTTCTATTAAAAACAAATATTGGTCTATGCAACTAAAAGTGAAGAGATTAGGAA